CTTAACCTACCCTCTTTCAAATAAAATCACAAAAGAAAATTTCTAGTAAAAACCCTGGTAAGAGAAGTGCACATGCCAGTTGTCTCTATTTGTTCCTTAAAGTAAATATAAATATTGACGGAACAAATGACACAGATTTTTGCTTTTCTTGTTTTACAAAAAAGGTTAACTTGGGTCACTTTGGAATACTCTTTATATTCTCTTGACAGAAACCAGTAAGTCATGCTCCACTTTCCATTTTCTTTACCAGTATATTTTCATGTGGAATCAGGTTCAGACTAATAGAATTCTGGATTTAAAAAAAAAAAAAAAAAGGAAAAACTCCTCTCTAATTTACTCACAGACTCTCAGTTATGGAAATATCCTGTCAGTGACCATGTACACCCTGTGTCTTTTGAGTTATTCGTGTTTAGAGCAGAAAGGCCTATTTGAGAGCACTGTTTGTGCTCTTAATTTCCACACTGCTCCTATTGACAACCTCAATCCGTGTGTGCGACTCCAATTGGGTTGTGAAATTAATATGGCTGTTTGCGTACATCAAGGGCAACCTGCACTCCTTTGAAAGCAAGGGCATTGCAATTATGGGTAGTAAGAGCCTACAAGCTTATAGTGCCATCTGTACTATGCAACACTTCCACCCATCCCTACTTGTATTGCTAACTTTGTGTTTCACAGCCTCTGAAAAAAAAAAAACAAACCACCAAAGAACAACAGATACGCTTATACAGGCAAAATATTTTGAATCTCACTCCACTAGTCAACACATCTATTTAATCTGTTCTAATGATTTTTATCTTACTGAGAATTACTCTTCATTAATCTCCTCTATGGAAAATAGATCCAGAAATCTCCATTGAGGTGAATGTAAGGGCTAAAACCTTTGTGTAAAAGAGCTACTGCAGGTTTGTGCAGCACCTGATCCTCACTCACACTGGCTTCTCCTGCTCCAAGATCAGTTGAATTTATTTGGAGTATGGCAGGGCCTCTGCTTTTGTGGGTGAATAGAGTGTGAGTGTATTCCATGTGCAAAGTGTGTGTTTGAACACGTACAAAGAATTCGAGCACCCAAAATGAACTCTGTAATTATTACCTGCAGCACTTGTGAAAGAGATTCCTAGTGACACTCATGGAAATAACAAAGATATTATCAGTCTAAACCATGCTGTTATGAACCAGAATATTTGTCTTCAAATGTCAATGAAGAAACAACTCTATTCATCCTAAAATAATCTTTAAATATTAATCAGTGTGAGTGACCACAGCTGAGGCAGAGGATGCTTCAAGCAACACAGTGAGATTCTTTTCACTCTGGGAATAAAGCATGGGAACCTTTTAATAAACAAAAAATGTTACCTTTTTTCTCTCATGTGAAGTTAAGGAAAGCAAATATATATTTCCTTATTTGTAAAAAGTTTCAGATTGTTTGTATGGAGACTACTGGGACATTTGCAGCAAAAAGTTTCTGAATATTCTTTTATTTTCATCTCCATTTTCACTATACTCCCAGTATAGTGGGGGACTTGCCAAAAGTATAAAGGCCAGGCTGCCAGAAACCATCACAAGCATCCCAATACATTTAAAGACCCAGTGCTGGTGTTTAAACTAGAGTACATTATAAGGTTCAAATCGAGATGTTAGACCTTTCAGGGAGTGTCTATCTTCTCTGGTTTTAAACAGAGTTTTGGCACCTTCCGATCTCAGTTCAGTGTGTAAAATTAAATGATGGTGAGTGGTAGCACAGAGACCCCTCAGGTACAGCTCAGACTCAGCTTGGAATTTCTCCTTTTCATCCTTCACAACACAGACCCTCCAGGTCGTGCTGTTACAGGCTTTCTCAACTATCACAATGATTTCACAACCAGAGGCATGAAGAGCTCTGGAAATCAGACATGGGGATCACTAGCAAGAATGAGCTGGCCCTTAATGGGACAAAGCTGTGCCCTTCCTCCTGGTGACACAGATACCTACACAATGTCCTCCTCTCGGCCAACGCCGAGCAAGGACGTCACGTCTCCAGCTCCTGGCTCAGTGGGCAGCACTGGGAGCCCAGACAAAGTTTTTTTTTGATAAACAGGTTTTTCTCTCCAGCCTTTCCTCAGACTGTCCCACAGCTACACCGTCATGTCACAACAGATGTGGAAGTTTCTGAGGAGAAGAGGGTTGAACAAGGGTTAACATGGCGCATTCTCCTCTTACTAAAATGATGTCATTTCCCTCCCCCTCCCCGAAAGTATCTGTTGCTTGGTTGTTTACATACTGAATTTAAAATCTATATTATAGACCTGCGTGACTTAAAATTGAATGAATTCTCATACCTGAAGACATGTGTACAAATTTAATTTAAACTTCCAGTGCTTCAGTGTTATTAAAAAGTATTTGGCTTTACCTGAAAATTGCCCATTTTCCCCATTTTCTGCACTTTCTCCACAAAAATAAGACTAAGAAAAACGGAAGTAGTGATACACTGTAGAAATTGTCCCAATGAGTTTATAATCCAGTGTGAGTTACACAGTACTGATAAGTAAAGGAAGTTCAACCAGACAGTTTAATCCTCCAATTTCCTGTCTTCTAATCAGCCACTGACTCCTCTGGCTTTAAATTAGAAACATTCATGGCAATATTCAGGACAGGTGAAGGAAAAAGAGTAGAAAACAACTAAGACAAATACTTGTAAGCAAGAGGAGGCCACTTATAGAAAATGAAGACAATATAAAATATGTATAATGATGCACTGAAGTGTTTAAGCTATACAGAGAATTTAGCAACTCTGATAGAGAAGGAATAATTTTATTAAAAATATTTATACAGCAGCTGAACAGCGTATGAACATACAAGAGTTACTGTATAAAAGAAAGGAAATCCATGCTGCAATGTTACACTGTTCGCACTTTGTTATTTTTACAGGGCAGGAGCAGGATAATTATTGCTACATGTATGCCTTTTGATATACCGTAAATCATAAGTAAGAAGCACAAATCAGCAAAGCCACGGACGGTTCAACAGCATGTGGGGATTACCATGATAAACTTGGACTGAAAGTGTGTACAGATACGCTCAGTGATTTAAATAAAAAATACTTTTTTGAGTATTTTGGCAGTGCCAATTAACTTTCCATATGATGAAATTAAGTATCTATTAGATGCGCCATCATTTTTATTTTCATTTGCAATGAGATTTATAGTGAGGATTCTATTAATTCTTAATTGATGGAAATACTAACAACATTTTGATATTTTCATTTTTTTAAAAATTGCATTAATTACCTGTGCAATTCCAGCTATTCCTCTGAAAAAAACAGAGGTGTGGAAGAAAAGTAGTCACCAAAAGCTTCAGTGAAAAAAAGATGTTAAGAACCTTTAAAGTAACTAAATGACCATTTTAAGTCTAGGCTGACTATTTTTAATAAATTCTGGTTTCACTCATGGCTTCGACAGAAAATAAAGACATTCACACTGAACTGTGGATCTAGAGTGGGATAATAAAATTAGAAAATAATTATTTTGGAAATGACTGGAAGATGTGCTTTAACTGTCGCATTCAATAACAGCAGTTTGCTCATACATAGAGTCATTTGAAATGGCTTCTTACTTATTAATGAGGCTTTTTTTCCCTTCACATGTTTCACAAAGAGCACAGTTTGGGGGTTTGAACCTGTTTGGATGGAGATAACTCAAATTATGGGTCCAGGTTGGAACTCAGTCCAGGTTGGAACTCCAGGTGAGCAAACCTGGAGTCGCTCCACTCCTCCCAAGGCAGCAACTTCAGGCTGGTGGCAGCGTAAACCTTGAGCAGAATTTGGCCCAATTTGGGCTCTTTAGTTTTGTTTTGCCAAGGAGGATTTTCCCTCCAGTATATACCTTTGCTGCACATCTATTTCAATAACCCCGTGCAAAGGAATTTTGCAGACAATCCCTTATTAAACATATTATGGTCACATCATACTGGCTTGCTAGAGCAAATAATTAAAAAAAATAATCAGCTTGAAATAAATGTTTATAAAAGTAGCACAGCTGCACATATTTGTTACAAATGCAAGACAGAGTACTGAAACTTTTCTATAACTAACCCTTTAGTGTCTCTATAACACTAGCAAATTTCAATTGAAAGTGCCAATAAAAACAAAATAATGATAATTTTTCCAACAAATTCACCTTTTATCTTCAGGCTCCCATATTGGTTAAATTATTTGCTATTATATATATATATATATATAAAAAAAAAAATGTAACTCCTTCTTACACAAATTCACAGCATTTGGGGGAAATTTTATGCTAAAATGTCACATTACAATATAGACAGAATAATAATTGTTTCTGCATTTACTTGACTAAAGCATAAAAAAAGTAGATTAGGTGTAAGAGCGCCTTAAAACAGCAGAGACAAATGCAAATATTACTGAAATGTACAAACCCTGCAGCTTCTGCTGAAATAGTTTGAAACATTTACAACTGTCTACAAGAAAGGGAAATAACATTTTTTCTTTTACTTTGACCTCTTGCTGTTTTGGCGAGCAAGATAAAATATATTAGCCATTCCATCAGATGGCTGTGGAGAAAAACTAGCTGTGATGAGGAAAAACGAATTAAAGGAGCATTAATAAAGATTATCTATGAAAGAAAATAAGGTCAAAATTAGAACTCTGCATTTTAAAGCCACCTTTCAAAATTGCAAGCTGCTTTGCCCTATGCTAAAATCCATTCATTTTACTAATCATGCAATCAACCAATCTCCATTATCTCCAGAGCTGGCTATAAACATGCTATAGACTGGGGTGAAAGAGGGAGAGTGTGAGGTTGAGAGACAGAGAGAGGGAAAGAAAGAAAGAAAGCAAGCAAGAAAGAGAGAGAGATTACTACACCCAGTCTTTTATAAAGCCGTTTCTTTCATTATAACAGGTCTTTTCATCCCAGTGACACAGAACCTTTAAATTTGGGCATAATGCTCCAGTACAGTACCCAGCTATAGCTTCAAATGGATTTAGAACCTGCTCCAGAAAAAAACCCAAACTCCCTCGCTTGACACACAAATTGTTTACGATTCATTAAAAAGCAAAATTGCATATCCCAGTGCTGGCAGCTGAGTCCATATGGGTGCAAGGGGTATTCACTCATCTCTTTGTATGCTGGCAGTACCAAACCGAAGTTTAGCACTGTGCAGCTGAGATTTTGTGCAGCCAGACGATGCATGAGGTAATTTTCAAAGCTTTATTTGTCTTTAAAACATTAAAATCTGCTCTCTAGCTTACTTTTGATGAAAAGAATGTGGCAAATGGGATGAGGTTTGGGGGGGGGGTGAAAAAAAATCTATTTTTGTTGTGTGTTTTAGATTCATAATGCATGAAAAACTGCTTATTACTCCATCAATAATTGAAACTTTGTATGAAAATTATTTGCAATTAACACATCTATTGTAAAGATCTTGAATTATTCACTTCAGCTAAAAATAACATCTCTTATCTACCACAACTTTTACCAAAAAAAAGCTATTTAAGTGATTTTTTTTCTGTTAGAAAATAAATGGTGTGACGTTCAAGTTTAAGGAGAACTTTCTGCAATGTTTAATCTAAACAACAGCATGTGTGGTTATAAAACTGTTTATTTTTAGGCAAGTGCATTACTAAATGTTTCCAGGATTTTTACATATTATATTCACAGCACTGAAACATCTGTGAAATAGATGTGACTGAAATGAAACTTCCTTGGACACTTTCTCTAGAGTGCTAATAACTGCCTAGTAACATTTGAGGATACTTATTAAATAATAAACACGGACATACCTCATAATAAAAGAAGCCGATAGACAATAAAAGAGGAGTGGTAATAAAATATACAAATGGCTTGGAATAAGGCAAAATCACAGCAAGATATAAATCTTGTGGCTAAAACAGGTACTTGAAAAACTTTGTTTTGAAAATGATAAGTAAAAATCAATAGCCTTATTTACAGGGGTTTAACGAGCTAAAAAAAAAAAGTCACATGAATAATCAACAGTTTATGTGCATGCAAATACCCCTTCCCCCTCCAACTTCTCCTGGCAGAAAGTCTAATTGGAAAATCAGTACTATAAGTAAAGTGGTTAGCCTTCCCTATTCCCATTAACCAAACACTGCATGTTACATTTCACTGGCAACCGCTGGCAAACCTCTAATAGACGCTTAAAAAATTAAGAGTTTAGAAAAAAAAAAAAAAAGGAAAACCCCGAGCCCAAACACCTTTAAATACAAGCCACATGATATACACAATGGCTACCACCAAGCTGCAGAATAAAAACCTTCCGGATCTCACTTTTAAAAGTCTTTCAAGTCCTCTGAGGTCTTAAACTTTCCAAATGATACCAAAATTGGTCCGGGGCGGCGAGGGGGAGGGAAAGCCCCCGACTTGTTTCAGCGTATCATACAATGAAAGTGATCATGCCTTGTTTTGTAATTCCACTCGCCAGTCCTTTTTTAACTGATATCTATGTGAAATGAGCTGAGGTTCACGGTCCAGTTAGGAGCGGATAATACATTCATTGTCCTGGCAGCAAACTTTTCCTCTCACTGGAAGAATTCACGCTTGCCACAAGAATAATAATTACAGAAAACTAAAAATGCGCTGCTAACGAATTAATCCCTAACGGACAACACGCTAACGAGGGCAGTAATGATTTGAGGACTCTCTTCCTCGCAACAGGACTTGCATCTTCTGCTACAATGGGCTATTGTGCATCCTCCTAACTCACTATACCTCTTATAGATTCAAGATGTCAAAGGTTGTCTGGCCCGGCTGACCATGACATGCTAGTTAACTCGTTCTACGGAGCACGTTGGGACTTTATTGAAACTTTAATTGTGCCCAAAAGCAGCTAGAGCCAGACTATGTGGGATCTGTAACACATGGCTCCAGGTCAGCACAGCCCGGGAACCTGTTCTAACGCAAACAAGCGGAGGGAAAAGTTAGATCGGGGTCTCGGATGAACGGCAGCACCTCGCAAACCGCGCTCCTCTCACACGTGGTGATTTTGCACCACGCCACGACCGCACCGTTCCAGGCTTTTACAGGGATCGACTCGCTTTGTAACGGACTGAACTTTCCACCTTCCCTTTTTACAAAATACTGCATAGTGAAAAATGCACGCGCACACGGACGCTGGAAAGCAGCAGATAAAATAAAACAAACTGAGCGTTAGGCAGCCGACTGAGACAAGTTTCTCTGCACAACAAGGCTTTTTCAAACTACTTCTTTGCATACTTTTTTTTTTTTTTTCCTTTAAGGAGAATTGAAAAAGCTTCCCTCTGGAAACTGTAGTGCACATTAACAGTCTCCTGTTACACAGGGGAAAGCACACAAGTGGGACAAGTGTGAGGCTGCTCTACTGAAGAGTGTGAAAAAAATCAAATGTTAATTTGATAAATGTGAGGTCTGGGACATTTTGTCAAAGAGGGAGGGAAAGTAGAAAAGGGAGAAAAAAAAAAGCAGCCCTGCTGCCAACTCACCATCCACCAAGTTCTGGCCGAGATGTCGTAGCAGAGCTGCCATTTGATGGAGCCGTCGGAGGTTTTCCCTGCCATTATGCTGTCAGCAAGCTTCATCTGATGCTAACTCACGGGAGATAAGACACCTAATTGAGAAAACATTTGCACTGGCATGTTGGGCAACATGTAGCCCGGTCCATACCATATGGAATCATGGGTAAAAAAAAAAAATCTCCTTGACAATGAACCAATCTCTCACAGACCCAGTGGCAAGGTGAAGTGGAGATGAAAAGTCATCTGCTCCTAGCACTGTCTTCTCCTCTCTCTCTCTCCCTCTCTCTCTCTCCCTCTCTCCCCCCCTCTCACTCACTCCTTTTTTTTTTTTTAAATAAGAACCCACTGCTCAACATCAAAGAGAGGCGGTCAAAATTAGGGCTTCATCACTCAGATGATTTTGGTCTGCAAGGTTTTTCTTTCCTCTTTTTTATTTTTTAAGAAGAATAAAGAGATTTAATAGGACAAAGGCAGGTAGTGGACTGTGGAGGGAGATCGCCACAGGCTATTAGCCTAAAATTTCTGCTTGACAGATGGAACTGCTTAGAGACTATCATGCAATGTTTTGGGTGTTTTTTTTTAAAAAGACTTTCAGTCTGATTCAGTATCTGTTTATCGCAGCTACTTTTCTCATGTACGTGACTGGGGGGGAAAAGGCTGAGCAAAAAAAGAAAAAAATAGCGTTTTTCTTCCTTTCTTTCATAATTGTGCATGTAATAATTTAAGCAGTGAAAGGCAAAACAAAAGTGTAAACTGTCCAAGTTAATTTCTCCATCAAGTGATAGACGCTTTCTGAATGAATCAAATGATTTGTGGTTTTTCGAGACGCTCAAGTTTTGGCTATTTATTGCTTCTTGATTTTAGATATCAGATCATATTGTTTAAATGAATGACTTTTCATATGAAGGTTCAAAATGCCCTCTAAGAACTGAACAATTCCCTTTTTATTTATTTGTAAAATATCATTTTGCTAGAATATTTTTTAAAATGTGGTATTTAATGTTACATTTCTTAATCCCATCAGGTGACAGCTGCCAAACTCACAGAGGTTTGTTTCTCCTTCCTGCAAAACTTCTCTGCCACACTCAAAATTTACGTGAGGAATTGACAGACAAGTTGGGAAAAGACAGCCCCAAAACAAACTGCTTTGAAAAGTTATGAAATCATGTTATTGTCTGATATTAAAATCTTTTCCTGCCTAGCAAAGCCAGAGATAATCATAGATTTTCTCATCTCATTTTCCCACTTCTCCTGGTGCACTGTAAACCCAACTGAAGTACTACTTTTGTGACAGCTGACTATTAAGCAGGCAGTGAATGCTTTCCATTTAAATCACCCCGCTGTGTCACACGGAGCGACGGTTGCTCGGCTGTGACCACCACAGTCCCTGACAGGGCACTCCAGCCTATACAGTAGAGCCTTTCCTCAAGTGCTCGAAAAAATGAACTTCTGAACTGGCAAACACACTCTTGCCAGGAATATTTCTTAGGGTTGAGGAGCTATGGCTGATACAACTTGCTCACTCAGAAACAGCTACATTCTGCAAATCTTTTTTGTGATTTGGACACGAGAAGAAAATGTATTAAAAACATCTACTCAATTTTAAACAATATCAGTTTTTGTTTGTATCAGCAAGAGGAGCTCGTGGGTGCACAATTCTTATTTGGATTATTTTGTGTATTAACTGTTGTTTAACTATTTGGCTACAGCAAAATTGTAATTCTGGGCTGCACAGATTACAGAACTGCCATTCAGTACAGAACAGAACTAACTTGTACTGAGCTTCAATAATACCCTTGCATTTCTGTGATGTGTGAGATGATAAGCAAATGATATAGTGCAAGCATGAACTGCTAATGTAATATGCAGGGGTTTGGGGTTTTTTTGCCCCAAATCTTACAATATGTTTGGTCTAAACATCAGTGAATGATCTACGTGACTACAGCATCCCAGTTTGTATGTTTAGCTCCAGATAGCAGGTACAATCCCACTGCTATTTACAGAAAAGGGTCTGACTAGCATGGGAAGTGTTAAGTTTTATTTTGGGTCCAGAAAAAAAAAAATGGACACTGTGCCAGGAACTGTCCTTGCTCTGGCTAGCCAAAGTATTTATTGTCTTCTGTTACTGCAGGTTTGCTAACACTACCTGTCCTTTCAGGCTCACTGCTTATTGGGAAAAAAACCTCCCTCTCCAAATAGTCACACAAAATATAAAGGAAAACTCGTAGTAACAATCAGCCCTTGAATTGGTGTCAGATTCAATTTTCTGCTGCTCTCTCTGCTCCTACCTCTCAAACCCATCATCTTACCCGCCCTGCTTATTATTTATTTAGTATTTCATACCCAGTTGTGCTGCATGTCATTCCAGGCAAGTTCTGATAAATCTGTATTCTATATGGGGTTTTAGCACTGGGTGTAGTTAGAGATCTACTGACAAACTTTCTGTGGAATGCTGTATTAACCACTTCTTCCTATACCAACATATGATTTTACCTCCCAATATTAATTGTAAACACACCAGCTAAATATTTTTTTTAGAACATACACTTTTCAGATTATGGATGACAGAAGCATGAAACCATTTCCTTCCTGACAGTGGAGTGGTTATGTGCAAAGAAATTAGGAGTGCTCTTGGTTAACAGCATTTTAAATTCAGAACAATTAGGTGCAGTTAACTTTGCC